TCAACGTATGAACTGTTCTAAAATATGTAATTGTGTTATTTTCAGGGTTCGTGTAGCAAATGTTCTACTCAAGGAAACGATTTATGGGCTTGTCTTCAGGTAATTGTCGAAAATATGTGTATTAAAAATATAAACTATTATTTCTAGAGTAGTTAGCCAGAGTTTACTGAATGAGTTACCAATATCTAGTCCTAGGACAATTTGCAGTAGTTTCCAGTCTATGCTCTAATGTAAATAACACAGGGATACCATTAACTAACATTTGTTATTCTTTAGGACTGTTGTTCATATGTTGGATGTGGTAAATGCAACAAAAATCACATTGAGCTCCATAACCAGGTTAGTATTGTAAGATTTTACTTTTAAACCACTGAGAGTGCAGTATGGTTGAATGCATAATAGTACTAGGTGAGTACAGGTACGATTTTATATCCTTCCATCATTTGACATTTTACCAATTTAATTCCAGGAAACTGACCATCATTTGTGTATTAATCTACAAACGTACAGTATCTGGTGCTTCACATGTCAAACTACTGTTGACATGCCAACACCAGATGAGCTAGAGTCCCATGGTAATAAGGGAATAGCTAGTCACAAGGTATAGAGATCTAGATTATTTATTATAGCAATATCAAGGCTTGATTGGTTGACAAAATGATTCACTGATTCAATCATTTGGTTGATTGATTGATTGATTGATAAAGTGATCCAATCATTGGTTGATTGAATAATTGATTCAATCATTATTTGGTTGGTTGGTTGATTGATTGATTGATAAAGTGATTCCATCATAGATTGATTTATTGGTTGGTTGGTTGGTTGGTTGATGAATTGATTCAATCATTTGGTTGATTGACTGATTGATTGATAAAGTGATTCCATCATTGATTGATTTATTGATTGGTTGATTGATTAATTGATTCAATCATTATTTGACTGATTGATTGATAAAGTGATTCCATCATTGATTGTTTGATTGTTTGATTGATTGATTAATTGATTGATTGGTGGGTTGATGGATTGATTGGTTGGTTGGTTGGTTGGTTGGTTGGCTGATATGGTGAATTCATTCAGATAACTGTATTTGCTGCAAAGATTACAGCAATTTCTTTCATATAGACACACCACCACGATATTCTAGATGAAGATGACTTCCTTGACTTAGAACAAGGCCTAAAACCCAGAGGTAAATGATTCTTGTGCCCTGCCCTGTCAAAATCTCTTGATTTTCTGTCATTTTTGATCTTTATCTACATTATATAAGTATATTGTCAGAACTGATTCTGATGATACAGTATTTAATTACTTTGTTGTTATTGCTAGGGCTGTGCGGATTGACAAACATCGGTAACACTTGCTACATGAATGCAGCTTTGCAAGCATTATCAAACTGGTACATATTCTTATGCTTTCTGTAATTCTTTATTCTGAAACCTAGGGTTATGATTCTGTCATGACTGTACAATGTACATGTTGTGATTATGGTATTATTTACAATCATATTAACTAAAATACATATTTTTTGTAACTTTTTTACAGTCCTCCCGTGATGCAGTATTTCCTGGACTGTAGTGCAATGGTTGGAGAAAATAAACACCCAAGTGTATCCACTAACTTCTATCATTTGATCCATGAAATCTGGTCTAGAAAAAGGTGCAAAATTCACTTATTAACTAGATATCCATATTAGTTAAAATAGCCTAAAATTTTTGCAATGTAATGCACACTTTTGTTGCTTTTTAATCAAGTTTAGAGACATGTGGTTTTATTTTATTTATTTATTTTTTTGTCCTCAAAGGCATGTACATTGCTCACCTCACCCACATACAAATGAAATCACTCTTTGTGAACAGCCTTTCTATGACACATTTCACCAAATAACTAATTTTTTATCTGTTTAGACCCAAGTCCTTTGTACCATCACAATTATTAAGGAGTGTTAGAAGTGTAAATTCGCAGTTCAGAGGATATGGGCAACAGGTAAGGAAGGAACATGAGGTTTATCGAATCCAATGACAACTTAATGTATAGCATTATGTTATATCCAAATAACAGTAGATTAAAAATACAATGCAAATGACACTGAATTTTTAAAAAAATATCACATTATAGGTTTAATTGTATGAGGAAGTAGCTGATCCCATTAAAGAGTGCTCAATACACATAAAGTGTAGAGCTAGTTATATATATACAGTAATATCAAAGAGGCAAGATTTTGCTGTAACTCCGAGTTTCGTGCTACGCACTCATCAGACAGTATTTAATCTTAAATTTAAATTTAATTTAGATTAAATACTGTCTGATGAGTGCGTAGCACGAAACTTGGAGTTACAGCAAAATCTTGCCTCTTTGATATTATATACATTATAGGTTTAAAAATGTTTCAATCTTACTGTAGGATGCACAGGAGTTTTTGCGCTGTATTATGGATAGACTGCACGAGGAGCTCAAGCAGCCCGTCATGGCATACTGTACTCCATCGTGTGATACATCAGATGAGAGCGATGAGCCTAGTCACCAGGCAAAGAGATTACTTGGTGGACAGGCACTGGAAACTACTAGTTAGTACATTTTTCTTATTTTCAATTCCTTGTGTTTATGCATACAGTATACCATGCTCATTTACATGTATCTAACAATAAATTTTAATAATTCTTTCATTAATTGCTTTTCTCAGATGATTTAGATATGTCCTTCGAGAGCAGCGATGATCAACACAACACCATGCCGTTAGACAGACGGAGATCAAGTMCCGTTCTTGACACCTCTGATGTTCAAATCGATATCGAAATGGAAGATGAAGAGGTTTCTCCTTCAACAAAACTYACTAATAATAAATTATATTCAAACGGAGAATGCTCTGGAAGTGTTGACGACGTCAATAGAGGAATGAGCTTCCATGACAAGATCCCTCAAAGTGCGCAGAAGGGCAGAGATCATGATGGTGGCCCTTCTGCTATGGATGTTGATGTACCACATGCAGGTTGGTATGCCAGAGAAATGATATTTTTTTAATTGCTGGCAATCGATATTGTGTCTGATTTTTAGTATTGTGGATTTCCTGTGTAGAGAGATTGTCATGTTTGGGTAACCATTGATGTCTAGCTGTGTATTTGTATATGAAGTACATGTAGACAAACAAACTTATAGGCAAACAAAAGTATGATATTAAAGACATAAGATTTATCAGGGTTCGTGCTATTCTTGAAAAGTCCTGGAATTAAAAACTTGTTTTCAAGGGAGTTTCAATGGGAAACATTGCTGAAACTCCTGAAAAACTCCTTGAATCTCATAAAATTGACATGTTGCTTGTTAGCTTTTGTATTGAAATGTGGCTAATCGCATTTTTGTAAAAGGTCTGGAATTTTGTAGTGAAAATGTAGCACGAACCGTGTTTATACAGGCACTTTGTTTTGAATTTATTTTTATACTCTATGTCATACATGTAAGCTCAAGAAGAACTGCAGATTTTACAGTAAGGATTTATAATCATTTTGTTATTAAACCACAGAGGTGATCAAGAAAACATCTAACTATCGAAGTATCATCACAGATCTGTTTGATGGRAGAGTTCAGAGCTCTGTACAATGTCTCACCTGCAACAGAGTAAGAAACATGATTTTTGTTGATATTGTATTTGTTATTGCCAATGTTTTCATGGTACATGATATATATTGTCTTTTGTCTTCCAGGTTTCTTCTAAGATTGAAACATTCCAGGACTTATCACTACCAATTCCAGGTATTTAAGGGAATATTGTAATAGCCAGAGATCCCTTGCATTTGATGTCATAGTACGAGAACAAAACAAAAGATTTTCGTCAAACTAGGAACTTGAATCCTTGGTTTGTGCTCCACTTGGAGCTCCACTCCCGTGAACTTCAAACGGGTCTATACCAACAGCTTTGAATGATTTCAGGTAAAGATGAGCTGGCTGTCATCCATGCAACACATTGCTCACCAATTACAACATGCTCAAGAAGAGAAGAGTCACTGTACGATCAAAAAGGCTGGGTATTGTCCATATTTGATTGGCTAAAAAGGTTAGAAAAAGCCTTTATTCACWTGCTGTTCTGTTTTCATTTTTTCATTTATTCTCAGCATTCATCCATTTGTCTTTTTCTTTCATCCATTTATTCATTTGACCATCCATTTCATCTGTAACGATATTTGTTCATTTTTTTTTTCATTCTTTTTTTAGGTGGATTTTTGGCCCTCAAGTTACCCTACAGGATTGTTTGTCAGCGTTTTTCTCTGCTGATGAACTTAAAGGTGACAATATGTACAGCTGTGAAAAATGTAAAAAGTAAGTACCTCGCTTATTTTACATGTAGATAGGGATTCCATTGTCTTTATACATAGACCCATTGCATGTGACCTCAGAGCAGCTTCATCTGGAGGACAAACAAAAGTTTTTGCCCTCTTGGGGACTGCTACATGTACATGTACGATGTACATTGATTTGTCCTTCAGTTGGACCTGCATTCCAACAAACAGAGGCTGTCAATGCATATACATTATCATTAAATATTTGTGTTATATAACTTCTCATAATATGAAACATGATATCACTCGATATCTCCCAGGATATGGTCATAGGTGAGAAAGCATCATGTACGTTGTATTAATATGTTATTTCTTTTCTTTGCTTGTTATTTTAGATTAAGAAATGGTATAAAACTTTGTAAAGTGCTTCATTTACCAGAGGTTTGTAACTATTTGTATTTGTGTTTATGACATTTTGGACTGTGTATTATACTTCTGAACCTTTTACGTCACTACTTGATTTGCA